GTGCTGCCCCACAGCTGATTCACTCGAAAATCGTCGTAGGGCTACGCCGAGCGCGAACAATGTTTCGGCCATGAATCTGCTCCAGCTTGACCTCCTCACCCAAGACGAAGAGAAGAACTTCAGGGAAAGAGCCATCAAGGTCGTGCAGGCTGCGGGCGGCATTGTGCTCAAGGCTCACCAGGTAATACTGCAGGTGCACGAACGCACACGACTTGAAATGCTTGCGCGACTGACTTCTACTGCTCGCACCAGGCGTTCTACCAGCTGCTGATGGCGATCGACTTTTTGACCGACGCCAACTTGCAAGTGGCGATCATCGCACCTTCAGGCGAGGAGACACCGGTGGACTCCTTCCTCTCCCTGCTCGGCCGCACCTTCATGCCCAACGCGGTGGTAGCAATGAAGGAGGAGGACGAAGGCAACGGCACCGGCACAGGCGCCAGGCGCTACGAGGTGGGCATGCTACGGGGCAAGACTACGGTCGGTGGCAAGGTGACGGTCATGGTGTGCGACGCCCAGTCAAAGGTGTGCCACGCCCCGGCTCACTCTCCTACTGACCTCGCACGCGAACTGGAGGCCGCCAAGAAGACCTACCAACTCTGATATGGACTCCTGTCCTTCTTGTACAGCGCTCGCCGTCTGATTCTTCAATCCATAGCGTGGGGTCTTTTGTTATTCTTTAAAGTCGTGAGAACGTCACCTCCGAGTTGAAGTCGTTTGCATGAAAGCTCACACGATTGCAGTCCAGCACCCAGGCTGGTGAACAGTTGTTTGAGGACGGCCAGCGAAGAAAAGGCCGAAACTTTTTTCGTTGCTCCGCGGAAAGAAGAAACCATAAAAGAAAACAGAAAACATCATTTTTGCCAATTCCAAATGCACAAGAAATCGGCAACGGTACGCGCATGATCTTTGTGTCGGGAGAACGTGCTTGAGCGGCATGTTGACCGAAGTTGCCTCGTTCAATGTTCGCCATTCGCCATCCATGCCCATCTTGATTAATCTATATGTTTTATTATTTTATTATTTTATTTTTGTGGCCACAGAAAAACCGAGAGAAGGAAGTGTCTGTGGTCCTGGGCACGATGACCTTCGGCGGCCAGACCGACGAGGAAACGTCGCTGCAGATGGTACAGGAGTTCCTCGCTCGTGGCCACCGTGAGCTCGACACGGCGTTCCTGTACCAGAAAGGCCACACCGAAGAGATTCTTGGCCGCATTCTGGCCAAGGAGCGGCAAGAGCGCGGCGACAGCGGCATTGCGCCGTACGTCGCCACGAAGGTCAACCCGTGGGGCTACTCCGGACGGTCTCTCAAGCCGGCCGACGTCAAGAAGCAGGCAAGCCCGCCACACTCACACCACGCCGCTCTGTTCGCTTGTCCGTTTCTGACGCGTTGCCTCCTCCAGTTCACCACCTCGCTGCAGAGATTGCAAGTCGGCTCAGTAGATCTGCTGTACCTACACGGTCCCGACTTCAAGAACCCTATTGGTACGCGTCCTGTGCATAAGTCTGCCCCAAGGGATGAACCCCAACCCGTGATTGCTGCAGAGCAAACGTTGGAAGCCGTGAATGAGCTCCATCAGGCCGGCCAAATCAAGGAGTTTGGCGTCAGCAACTTCACCGCGTGGCAGGTTTGATCATCTGCGAGAGGTCGCCGTTGAGACATGCCGCACTTACACATAACCGGGTCCCACACGTGCTCTATCATAGGTTGTAGAGATCTACCACATTTGCAAAGCCAACGGCTGGGTTCTTCCCACCGTGTATCAGGGAATGTACAACGCCATCACCAGGGATGTCGAAAAGGAGCTCTTTCCGGCGCTGAGGTGCCCCCTCTACTCCGCGTTTGCTAAGGCCACGCT